CCACGCATGCAGGTATGCATCTGAAAAACCAGCTGCTGCAGCTGATTGGTTTGAGGTTTGCAGATGACAGATGACATTGACTTTGATGACTACCTCACCTGCATCGTCCGTCTGGAGAACATGTTCAGTACGTTACCACCATTAAAACGCCTTAAAATGAATTTATTTAAAAGGTTTTATTTCAGAGGTATTCCTGCTGTGTGGTTTTATCGCTGAACTCTGTCTGTTATGTAGGAACTTTCCAGGCCCTGGATAAGTTTAACAGGGGCAGAGTACAAATGAACATGATGCAGGTAAACAGAACAAACTCATAATTCTTGTTCTTTACTCCCACCTGGTTAAACATCGAGGTATTTTAATAATATCTGAAACTGACAGATTTTTCATGCATCCTGTGACTCTTAATTCTAACATTAATTCCAGATTAGATTAAACACCATATCATGTTGATTTAACAGATTTTTTTCTTTTTTAGTTCCTTTTGTTGTCAATGAACGTCTGAGAACCAGATGGAAGCAGACGGCGCTGGAGGAGGAGCTGGAAGCAGCGACACATCTCTCTATTTGACTTTTTCCTTCTTTAAATGCTTAACCGGTCATTTAATGACTAAATGTGCACCGACGCGTTTAAGTGGTTGAACTTTGAATTTTGCTGCTTTTTCTTCACTCGTTACCTGAATGCAAGAAAATTGTGAATAAAAACATTTAAACCTTATAAACATCTTACTGGTTTAATTGTTTCTATGAAGTGTGTTGAGATGACGTGTTGTGAATCGGTGCTATATTAATAAACTGAATTGAACTGAACAGCATTGGTCTGTGTGTGGACCAATAGAAATGAGTTTGCTCTCTGCAGCATTTCTATTGGTCCATGCAGAGATTGTACATTTGTAAAACTCGATGTGAATAAAATGCAAGGAATCTATCCTACCATTTTTCATCAAGCTTAACCCAGGTGGGGTCACAAGGGATACTGGTACCTATCTCCAGCTGTCTAAGGGCAGGTGGCAGGGTACACCCTGGACAGTTAGCCAGTCCATTGCAGGACAACACAGAGACAAACAACCAACCTTAGGAGAATTTAGAGAAGCCAGTTAACCTAACAGTCATGTTTTTGGACTATGGGAGGAACGAACCCACGCATACTCAGGAAGAACATGCAAACTCCATGCAGAAAGACCAGGGGCCAGGAATCGAACCTGAAACCTTCTTGCTGCAAGGCAGCAGTACTATGCACTGTGCCACTAAGCAGCCAGCAATGAATTCAGTGTCCCCCCAAAATAAATAAAAGTATTTATTTAACAAAGAAATTTGGAAAATTCAATTTGAAAAAAATACTCTGAAGTTATAGATTAAACTCTTGCATACACTTTACAAATTGAGAAGTTTTTCAAAGTTCTGTTTTCTGTTGTTTTTAAAAAACACATTTCTCAAAGTTTCCTCATTCGAAACAAGTTCTTTGCTTTCAATGATACTCGAACATTCCTCTCCATACATCAATTCCTGTTTTATTCCTCAGCAACTTTTCCTTTCTCTTTTTCTGTCTCTTGTCTGGTCTCTTCTGGTGTTGGTCACACCTACTCCGTCTGGACCCCAGGACTGTAAACAACGTTTGATGCTCTGTTATCCACAGGATGTATATATGTAAATCCTTTTATTGTCCCAAAAGGGGGAAATTTGTTCTCTACATTTAATCCATCCCCTTGGGGAGCAGTGGGCTGCCATTGTGTGGCACCCAGGGAAAGGTGTGGGGCTAAGAGTTTTGCTCAGGAACCCAGAGGGGAGGTTGTGGGGATTGAATCAGTTACTTGCAACCTTCTCAGAACATAAGCGCACTGCTCTTACAGTACCACTAGGCCAACCCTCCCTATATATATATATATATACACTATATTGCCAAAAGTATTTGCTCACCCATCCAAATTATTGGAATCAGGTGTTCCAATCACTTCCATGGCCACAGGTGTATAAATTCAAGCACCTAGGCATGCAGACTGTTTTTACAA